AAAGTAAACATGCCAATCAAAAGCAGGTCCCAGAGGATTATTGTAATAGAAAATACGTTTTCATTCACTATACAAGCTAGATATCAAGATTCAAATGATTCCTCCTTAATTCACTCTACCTCAAGTTGGTGGCATCTAAAGCTCTTGTTGCATCTTCTTGAGATTCGAATTGTACAAAGGCAAAATTCCTCCTGATCCTCACGTTCAATATTTTCCCGTAAGGATCAAAATGCCTCTCCAAATCTCTTGTTTTAGTATGATAGGGATCAAAGTTGATTACAAACAGCGTCTTAGAGGGCCTCAGGTTAGATGATCTTCTACTGCTCTCTGGTCGCCTGCTGCTTCGTTCTTGCTGTTACTCAACACAGGAAAGGAAGTTCAGGCATTTAAAAAAAATCAAAGTCAATGCAACATTGCAACTGTCTCTCTCTCGTAAGCAACAAGCTAAAATTGCATATATTACCTTTGTCCACTCAACACGAAGCCTACGCCCCTTTCGACCATATTCAATTCGGTCTAGAGCACGAATGGCATCCTCTGCATCTCTTTCATTCTCCATGTAAACAAAAGCAAAACCTGACAAATAGAAAAGAGAGAATATCACCGTCTTAATATCACTTTTCTGAAGCTCGGAAAGTGTAACCTACATGCATAATTCTGTCATCAATTGATTCATCATCTATTACTACTGTACAACATGAATATCCATGAGTAGGCAAATCATATACAAACATTGCCAGGAGGAATTAGTTAAAGAACAAACCCTTATCCAAAGAACTCTGATCAGTTTAATCAGTAACAGACCTTGGCCGGTGACCCAGCAATGTCAACAGACAACTATCCACAGATAGATGTCTCACGATTACAGCGTAAAATGAGTGCCTTACCAATTTATCCAGGTGTCTCGGGTATAACGTGGAAAAAGGAAGGATGGGCAAAAGTCATGTGGAATGAAGTCATAAATGACCGAGGGAAATGTGTGATTGTGATGTCATGGATGTCAGAGGGCTCTTGTAGTGAGATGCTTGATACTGCCAAGGAATGAAATGCACAAGTAACCCTTCCATCAGCCATGGATAGTATTGATATTGCAATGAAATCCTGCGTCAAAGAATTAATTGAAAATGGGCGTCTGACACTTAAAATGACACACTTTGCTCATTTTAAACACATCCTCACACCCAAGAAACTCAACAAAGACACACTTATGTCTTTGTATGCAAGTTTGCGGAGGTACTCTGCTGAAGTGGCTCCCACGTGTGCAGTACTCTCCTGAAGCTATTCAGCACATGCTCCTTGAACTCCAGCATCTTCTCAGAAGGTGATCAGTGGTGTGTACTAAAATCTTAGTTCTACTATTAACAAGAATACGTTGAATTATTTGATTTATAGCTCATGTATTTTCCAAATAAATAGGAAATTGGATTTAATCCCCCATAACAACAGATACCCCATTGTAAATTAGTTATTACTTCACACCAATATTTAGTGATCTATTTCTCTTTTTGGGTTATGTAGTACCAAAAGTGTAGCTTTCCCAGTACTTATCCCCATGGCTTGGCACCTGGTGAGTCTGCAGCTCTAATATAATTATGAAACGACAGGATGATAGTGCTCTATGCCATGAGACTTGAGCACATAGGAAAATAATACCTCTCCCCCAACACGCAGTGCATGTAAAATTGCAAATGTGGAAGGGAGGCATATGTTACTCTAATGTGCATGTAAAAATAAATAGACGAGTACATTATATTCTGAAAGACTTTACAGTTCAACTTCAATGATATCAAAATGAAACAAGTATTCACACTATATCACCCCCATTAATTTCTAGATTTAAAAATTTAATAAGAGTATGTTATTCAGGCACCAAGCTTCCAGAGCTCACAGGGTTAGCTAGAAGAAATTCAAAATGCACATTTAAAAGTAACTACATGTTTCCTTCAATAATGATCATCAATTCGAGAAACACTAGTTGCATGGTTATATAACAGATACAACATCTTCAACAGATAATATCGCAATCTGAACTTACCTGACTTCAAATCAACCCTATCCACTCTCCCATATCTTCTGAAGAGTCGTTCCACTTCAGACTGCCGAGCATCATAATCAAGGTTCCCACAGAAAACTGGCCTCATTTTCACCTCACTCCGATGCTCTGTGAACTACATGTATAAAAAAACAAAGAGACTAAAATTAATATTACAACTCCAAGTAATTTTCTTTATCTACCATTCCCAGTGGCAGTTCTTTATAGAGACCCCCATCTTCAGATTGTGATGATCTAGCATCTTGTTCACTTCACAAACAGAAACCGACCGACAAATAGGATGACTTTCGATTAATATACTAACAGCTACAAGTACAAAATCAAAAAGGCTCAAACACTATCATAATCACAATCTAGAAAAGGAGAGCTGCCAGATGGTATTCATCCCCAAGACTGCGAGTAATACGA